ATTCAAAATTCTATAATTTACTATAACAAAATGACAGACTAAATGAGGACTCAGAATGTACTCTGCAAGTTATAGTCAATTACCATCCAAATAATAGATGTATTACTTAAAAGTTGCCTATAATGCTTTTATATTATGAAAGCACATTAAGTATGTTATAAATTCCTTGTATTTATTTATTATTTAAGCTTCATTTTTATTGTTTTTCCTATTATCATTTAGTCCCCTATGATTCTAGGATATCCATATATCAAATAACTAACAACAATTAACAATATAGATCTCAAAGTTAGTTATCAGATCAGAATCTACCTACAACAAATTTCTTTAATCTTGTTTAATATAAAGCACTCTAATACTTCATATAAATTTTACAGTTCAGGAAAATTATATTGACATTTCTTTACCAACATAAAAATTAGGGGAAAAAAGGTTTTTTCGCTTTCTTGAACACAGCTGCAAGGAAACTTTAAATTCAACTCAAAGACTAGTAATATACATAACAAAAACCAGCAACAAAATTATCCATCACATCATGAATTCAGTTAAAATAAAAATTTTCTCTATGTCTTGAGCATAGCTTTCTATATCAGGGTTCAAAAAACTTTCTCCATAAAGAGCCAGAGAGTAAATATTTTAGGTTTTGCAGTACAATTTGGTTGGTTGCATATTCTTTAATGTTTTTACAACTCTTTAAAGATATACAAACCATTCTTCTTGTGTGACAAGTCTCATTGGATTGTGCCCACAGGCTGTATTTTGCCAATCCCTTATCTATACCCTATTCCAAAACATACATATATGTATACACACACAAACATTTTTCTCCTATTCTACCTTACAGGCATTTGGAGACTAGAAAAGAAGTACATATATACATACTTGAATAAAGATACATTTATTCATATATAAACTTAATGGTGAATTAAATCTAAAATAAGAAATATTTTATTTTACAAAAATGTTCTAAAGATCCTAGAAAACATACCAGTATTGTCTATTATGATAATATGGATATGTAAACAAAAATGAACTTAATGGACATTTAGTGAAGCTGCACAGCACCTGAAGGCCCTCCCATTCTGGCTGCCTGTACTGATATATTGCTGTCTCCAATGTGTGGATGCCTTAGGGGAACAGATACTTGATCTTCCATTCTCCTAAGAGTTAAGACATTGTCACATAACTTAGCTTCAGCCAATTTAATACTTTCTCCCTGATTTTTTTTTACTTTTTTAGGAATGACCAAAATGTATAAGACAATGGGGAGTTGATGGTGCTGCAGCAGAATGACAGGTCGGCGTGCAGCTAGTAATGACAAAGAAATGGAAGCACCCTCAGCAAACTGCTTTCCGGGTAGAGTCTTGGCTCTCCATTGCCACTCATTACTACTCATTTCTCAAGCCAAGTTATTGTTAGCTTCCTGAATATTCTGTGAGCTTCATGGATAAACTTCCAACAAATTATATCATCGACTGTCATTTAGAGTTAGCTTCTACTGTTTGCATGTAAGAACTCTAGGCAGGGGAAAGTGGTGGCAGGAAGGTGGAGACAAATGTATTTGAACAATAAAAATAAAAAAAAGAAAAAGAAGCAAAAACAAAATACTCTAGATGCAAAATAATCTATTATTTTCCAAACTTTATGCTTTAATTATTTTATGAAAGAAGTTATAACTAATGAGCTACTCATCAACACACAACTGGAAAAGTACCAAAAGCATATCATAATCTATCTGAGAGTGATGCTACCTACTAGGCATACTATAAAAATTTTAAGAGTTTTGAGAGGTATTCTACTGCTAAAATATGATGCATTACTTAGTTTCCTTATATTTGTATTAAATTTCTAAATATAGTACTTCCTATTCTTTAATCTACCTTTTCTTTGTACTAATCCTCAATTTGTCTCTATCATATTATCTATGAAGTAATTATATTTATCTCTCATAACTGCTGTGAGGATTAAGCTAATTATATTAAAATGGTTTTAAAACTTTAAACATGAAAAGTGTATTTCAGTAAAAATAACCTAGTAACAGTAAAGTCATTATACATTATTTTTATAGAGTAACATATATATAAATTTACTGTACCATTATATACAATAACATATTCCATTACATATTATTATATATGTGAAAATAAGAATTCCATTAAAATGTAATAAGGCAGTGACTTTGAATACTTAGGTCATAGTTGTAGCTTCAGGATCTAGAGAATACCTAACCCAGAGTAGGCACTCAATAATTTTTATTTTATTTTACTTGACTATTTCATTGATTTTATTGTTTTATTTTATTTTAGTTCACTTTTTAAAAATCCTCACCTGAGGATATGTTCATTGACTTTAAAGAAAGTAGAAGGAGAAAAAGAAAGAGAAACACAGATGTGAGATTAGAACAGCAGCGGGTTTCCTCCAGTATGTGCCTCAACTAGAGATGGAACCCACAACCTAGGCATGTACCCTGACCAGGGATGGAACCCACAACCACTTGGTGAATGGTATGATGCTCCAATCAACTGAGGAACTCAACCACAACTCAAAAAATACTTGTATAATGAACCAACCATAAAAATTAATACTTGTATATCCTACCTTATAACATGCCTATGAGACAGGTGAGGTACATTTGGGTAATTTTATAACTTGTACATGAAATTTTCCTAAAGGAATATTATTTCTCCTGGAGTCTAGAAATGTTAGCAGAATAATAAATATTTTTTATTTATATTTGATAGTTAAGATATAGACTTGAGTCCTGTACCTATAATTTACTATTGTTACAGCCTTAGGCAAGTTATTTATAGAATTGTTTATATGATTAACAATCACATAAATTGAGCAGTTTAAGTGAACAAATTACAAGCAAGGTGCAAAATATTTGGGCATGGGAGATATTTTTCATGGTTAGAAATAGACATAAGAGGACTAATCACTTAGACCTTTAGGTTGTGGGAATCCACAGGCACCTCTTAGGGCAGCTTTGTATGTTTCTCATTTCATAGATGAATCCAGAAATACTTTCTGATTCTAGCTTCTACAATCTCCCTACTTATTGATGTACTTATCTCTTATGCAAATAAAGATACAGAGTATGCAGTACATCTGGAAATATAATTACATAGACAACTCAACTGCAATACAGTATGGTAAATGCTTGTGATAGTAAAAGTATGTGATGCACATCATAGGGGCAAGTATCTGTCATTTGCCCTTAGCAATATGGGAGAAACTGGAGGATTTTGTTGGTGAATACAATTAGATTTATATTTTGAAAAGATTACTCTGTAGGTGCTATGGTAAATGTAATTGGAAGGGAGCAAGATATCCAAGGAAAATGTTTCCCATGGAGTCAAAATGCAGAAAGCACAAGAAATAATAACAACACAGATGATATTAAAAAGTAGCTAAAAATAATGCAATATTCATATTTGCCAGGTGTTGTGTGCTTTATATTCATGATCTCAATTCCTGTATGCAAACAGTGAAGTATGTACTGCTATTGGTCCCTGCCCTCTACCATTTAATATATGAGGAAACTCAGACTCAGAGTAGTTAAGTAATGTCTAAGAGAACAGCATTTTAGAGAGAAATAATTCAAACTTGTCTACCTTGAACCACTTTGATATATTTTTACTACTGACATTTCTGCCCGCAAATATTCCAATTGTGTTCATGCATGCTGAATTTTCAGATATTGTTTCCATGCTCAAGGTTTTTATCTCATGTTACATGCATATCACAGAAAACCTTGACTCTAAGAGTGCAAAGCTCATTTCTAGAGGCATAAGCTAAAGACAAATCTCTTTAATTAGATGTTTATTTCATATAAAATTCACCCTAAATTTAAAGAAACATAAGAGACAGAAATAATATTTTAAATAAATATATACCTATCAACAACTGCCGGGCCTCTTCCGCATCTTTCATTACAAATAATTTTACTTGTTCTTGCTTGTGAGCCCACTGTCTCTCACACTTTGACCTTGGTTTGAAAAGTATATATAGAACCTCTTCTTCAGAAGTTACAGGCACTGTGTTACTGTCAGTTTGGCTCCTCAGCCCTCATATGTACCTTCCTTTATCAGGGCTACTGCCATCTATGATTTAGCCACACAGGCCGATGCATGAGAACATTCTCCCTGCCTACCATGGAATGCTGAATATCACTTCAGTGAAACTTCCTGGTCTGGTTTTCTCGGAGACTGTCCATTGCCCGACTGTAGGTCTATTTTAATCCTAGCTATATTTCAGGGCCAAATTTCATTTCTGTTTTCTGAGCTCTATCATTTAGCATCTGAAAATAAGCTATATAAAAATGTTAATTTACTTTTTCACATATTTGATGTTTGGCATGGCTAATATATATAAATTGATGACAGAGTATCCTATCTTGTCTCAACAAGTTCATTGTTCAGAGATTTTGCCAAGAAAAATGTTCCTCTGCTTGCAAATATCAACTACTGGCAAGAAATGCAAGGAATAAGAGAGAGAAAGACATTTAACCAAAAGATAATGTACATTGATATGGTAGCAGAAATTTCACAAAAATTATCTTTATATCCAAACAAAATATGAAATCCTCATACTTGGTTCATGGTTTATATTTCTATTGTATAGCATTAGGTAGTACATAACTTATGTTTTTTTTTCATCTCATTATATGAGAGAAATCAATGTATGTTTCTGACTGATGTTTATAAATTTAATAGAAAACTGACATAATTACTCCAACAGTGATTAATAAAAATGTTGTTAGTTATATATTGTTAATTTAAAAGAAAAAATAAAAGTGTTACTTTTTTATTATGCCAAATATTATAAGATATTACTGCAGAGTCTGTGGTGTTTTCCTTACAACTAGTTCAAATCATCTATATAATACCATTTTTTATTGGGAGTGCAAAAATATATATTATTAGAGAAAAGTTTCTTTTATCATTCATTTTCCTATCATCTTATATTAATATTCAACTAGGAAAGAAAATGAAACATACCTCAAACTTTTTCTAACTAGGAAACCACGTATCCATCTTTGAATAATCAAAACCGGTGAATTATGAGCCATAATTTCATTAATTTTTGAAGTAATATAGTTGATATTATTAATTTCATCCTCATAGGTTGATCCCTGTATATAGAAAATGTTTGATATTTATATCTCATGAAAGTATTTCCAAATATATTATTAACTTGAAAGTCTAATGGTAAAAACTACTAAAGCATTCACAGGTATCTTAAAGGTATAGCAGCTGAATAATATACATTTTCATATATATTTCATTAGAACAGAAAATCAAGAATTAGTAGCACCAAATAATTTCAATTTTCTCATAAAATGCAAGATCCATAATGATAACTTTCTCCATTCTAGGTTCTTCTCCAAATTTGGTATCATAGATATAAATTTTAATCATAATCATAATGATCTCTGAAAAGTAGTGACATGAATAGGTATCCAATGAAACTCTAAAAGTATTCTGTAGGTCCCCGCCAGGGAAACTGACACGTTGGATTCATAAAACAAAGTAGTTCCAAATTTTGTTGCATTTTAACTACAATGTTGAACATTTTTATTGGAACACAGCACATTCTCCTGGTAAAGATATTCTCTCTTTTTTTGAATATATATTTTTAATTTTTTTATTCTTCAAATACATTTGTCTCCACCTTCCTGTCACAACTTTCCCCTGCTCCCCCCACTTCCATCCCTCAATCCTTTCCCACTTGGGCTTTCTCTATTCCCTTTAAATACATTATCTCTAAGACCTCTGTTCCTGCAAATGTTTAGATTTGGAAATATATACATCCTATGTCCTATTGATCATTTGACAGGTTAGTAAAAAAGTCACTTTAGTTAGGTTTTGAATGTAAGGCTTATACCTTAAAAACCTAAAATTTGCATTGTTTATAAGGCACCTACACTGAAAATTACCAAACCAAAAATTACCAATTACCAAAATTTAAAAAATGCACATTTTCTACCCACACCCTCAATCAGCTACGTACTGCTAGCGAAAAAAAAAATCACAAAGCCTTGCAGATTAGTGATACTTCAGGCCACTCCAAAATGCCACCCCAAAATACGCTCCTTTGGCATATTAATTATTTTGAGTGGTAGACACTTAAAAAACAGTAAAAGCAGGGATGGGATTTCTCTGAACTTCCCTTATCTGCATAATGACAGATCTTCCAAACAGCATTCAAAATAAATTAAAACCAGGGAAGATGGTTCTTATTAAAGGAGAGTAAATTAGAAGATTAAGAGAAGAGTTTAGCAGAGACCACCACACTCAGATAAATTTTGTCACTAACTCCCATCTGTTCTTCTAAGGGCCAACAATTTATCTTTTCTAAAAATCATTTACTCTCCTAAGAAGCCTACATATTCCCTTCCCTTTCCTTGAGCATGAATTCAAAGCCACCTCAGGAGTTACTCATTTTTCCCTGGATATTTCCTATGTACACAAGAGGCAGACATTGGCAAATTCGGCAGGGTTAGTGTCCCTGCCAGAGAAGAAGTAACCTCTAGATACATCTCAGCTTTCTGATGCCCTAACACAATTATTTTGTGAAATGCCAACAAAACTACTATGGTAAATTTGAACAAAGGCCATGATCTATTAGAAATTTGAAGACAAATAGAAATTTCTTCTTTCTAAAGAGCAAATAATGCATTTCCTCCACTGCTGAATGATGGCCTGGACTTAAATCCCAGTTCTACTACTTGCTAGGGATGTGATCTAGGGTAATTAACTTATCTATCCCTGGTTCACCACCTGTAAAATAGAGATAACAATAGTACGGCTTCATTGGGTTGTTGTGAAGGAATATTTATAAAGCACTTAGAATGGTGGCTAAAACATTTCAAACATCCAAACAATGTTATCTGCAGTAGTTTCATTGTAATACTTAAAATAATATACAGTTTTAGAGTCAGCAAAGAGCCTGTATACCTTATCACATTTGATACTCAAAAAGTAGTCTAAAGCAATTTACTAAGCAATTTATCCAAACTTATATAATGTAAAATTATGAAATAACTATAAAATACAATTGGCACTAATATGTCAAATCTAATACAAAGAATTAAATATTATAGTAAAACTCTGGCAAAAAACAACATAAGCTTAGGCAAAACAAAAAACAAACTATGAACAATCAACAATATAGATGGTAGAATAATAAAACTTCTATTGTCTACCATTTGCTATTATAACCATGGAATGAAAATGGAACTATTGCTAACCCTGGTATAAAACATGATGGGGCATTTCAAAAGAATACTAAATACTTTTGTAATATGACTCACATGGAAGAAAGTACTTAGGGTTCTAACAGGAAGTGTAGGTGAAAAAAATTGTAAAACTATATTCTATTCATACTGTATATAATTATGCACATTCCAATCAATTTGACATTTTAAATATATTTGGACTTATTTTTTTTCTTTCTTTCTTACTTTTATGCTTTAACTTCTTCTAAACATATCTGATCCCTAAATTCTATCCTTTTGTATTCCATTTGTGGTTGGACATTATCTGCAAACCCAAGAACTGGTACTACAGAGTCACTTTTTTAATTTGAGCAAAGGATCCATTCTGTGACTGGTTCCAGGGTCAGGGCAAAAGGGGAACCCCAAGGAGGTACAAGGTTGCCATTACTAGGAGGGTAGAACAACACAGAAGGCTGCCGGGTTCCCCTAGCCCTTATCACCCCCAGGGCAGTCTGTTAACACTGACGGCATATCTGGCTTCATATCTGTCTCCAGTGGGGACAGCACTGGGATTTCATGGATTTGGAGCCCCACTGCCCACTGCATTCCCCTGTGGGGTTAGTGCAACCAAATCACAGAGGAGGCACCCACTTACCAGGCAAATACCACCTTGTGGAGATCCAAAAAGCCAGATAAGTTCAAGAGAGCTAAAAAACTTGTGATTCAGCACCATGTACTGGAAAATATTAAAATAGAACTCTTCATCTTAATCTGCTAGAGAAGTGTCACTCATACATAGATGCACAGACAGAGAAGAAATCCATCAAATACCATGAATAATCAACGCAGCAAGGCAGCACAGAAAAAAAATTTAAAAATCTCCATAAAAATAAAGACATGGAAATATGTAATATAAATGACAGAGAATTCAGGATTGCAGTTCTCAAAAAGCTCCACAAATGCAAGAAAATACAGTCAAACAGTAGTAAACTTAAAAAACAAATCGATGAACAGGCAGTAGTGAACTTAAAAAAACAAATCAATGAACAAATAAAGTACTTTACCAACAAGACTGAAATTTAAAAAAAGAGCCAAACAGAAATTCTAGAAATGAAGAACCCAGTAAAAGAGATTAAGGAGAAACTAGCAAACATAGAAAATAGAGCTGTCCAGATTGAGGAAAGAATTAGTAATATCAAAGATAGAAATACAGAAATGATGCAGAGGGAAAAAAAGAGAAACCTGAGCAATAAATAAATAAATAACTTCTATGAGACCTCTCTGTCTCCTTGAGAAAGAGCAATATGAGAATAATAGGCATGCCAGAAGAAGAGAGGGGATAGGGAACAGAGAGCCTATTCAAATAGTTGATGAGAACTTCCCAAATCCATGGAAAGAGCCAGATCCTCACATCCAAGAAGCAAACAGCATACTAATTACTTGAATCCAAAGAGGCCTTTTCCAAGACACATTTTATTAAAACGTTCAAAAATCAGTGACAAAGAAAGAACTCTCAAGGCGGCCAGGAAAAAGGAAGTAACCTATAAACAAAAGCCCAGTAGGTTATCTATCATCAGACTTCTCAGCAGAAACTCTAAGCTAGAAGAGAGTGGAACTGACTACTCAAACTACAGAGAGAGAGAAATGACCAGTCAAGAGTAATATATCCAGCCAAGTTATCCTTTAGATATGAAGGAGAAATAGACTTTTCCAGACATACAGAAGATGAGAGAATTTATCAACAGAAGACCTCCATTGTAGGAAATACCCAAGGTGGTTATTCTACCTGACAAAGAATAAAAGGTCACAAAACTATGAATAAGATCACCCACAAGCTTAAAACATCAACAGGGATAAACTGTGACAACAAAATGGGTAGACTTAGATGGCTCTGCCTTTTGTTCCTACCAATCCACCTCTTCCTGACCTAAGCATATGCCTGGATATGAAGAAGCTCATTGCCTATGAGGGAAAATGTGCATTTGCTAAACACAACAGAGCAGGAAGCTAGAATAAACCTTGGTCCTCTAAACTTTCCTTAAGAAATTACACAGAAGGACTACCTACCTCTGAACTTTTTGTTATGTAATAAAAATAAAATCACTGTTTAGTTGGCTTTCTATTACATGCAGACAAAATACAATCCAAACAAATTAACACTGATTCTGCACTCAGATCACACCCATTTTTAAAAATGTGTATGTGTGTGTATATATATATACACACACACATATGTATATAATGATGAACTTATACATACATATATCCCTCCATTATGTGCTCTTAGATAACTAAGCATTTCCAATTTCTAATTACTTTGACTTCATATAATGAAGATCCTGTGTTTTTTCTTTTCTTCAAAATGTGTTTTCCAATTAGTCCCCTAAAAACAAAGGTCTATAAGTCATTAAATGTCCCAGTTAAGAATTAACAGGATCTGTCTAGATAGTGTTATTGTGTTATAACACACAAGTTGTAATCATACTACTAGTTTCTTAAAGAATGAACATAGCCTTTTTAAATTTCTACACCGCCATGCGCTCTGGATAAAAGAACAATAATGCTTACTAAAATTGTTGTGTTACTATTATAGGGTTCATAATCATTTTGTTTTTATGATATTGTTATAGTTAATAAGTGCAATAACTAAATAAACATATACTCATAGATTGTCATTTATTCCTTCTCAGATGTTTGTTTATATTGCTATAAACTAAAAATAATCTTTCAATATTCAAAGGAAAACCTTATAAATAAAATATTGCTTATAATCAGAAATAACAAATACCAATGCAAAGGTAAACTTGAAAACTGTTATTCAAATAAATTTCTTCAATCCTCTACAACTCAGGAAAATATTCTGCCAGAATTTGGTATGTCTATATTACTTTAAGGCTTCATCCATTTTTTCTGACTCTCATTCATATTTTGCACACAATTTTTTATTTAATCATTACTTTTATTTCTGACAATCTTTTTTAAAATTAAAATTTATATCCCTCAGCTTAAAAGTATGTTGAAGTTAGTATCATCTCACATAAAAAGATTTATTAATCCAATTTCCTACAATAACCATTATCTTTGTCCAAAACTGTCTCAGAAAAGATTCTATACTTGGCATTGTAATTTCATATTGTCCCTGCAAGTTAAATTCCAAAGATGCAATAACTTCATCACCATCAAAAAACTTTTCAAAATAGTTTTGCATCAATGCTAATTTTCCATGACCATTTAAAACATTCTTCATTTTTAAATCAGTCTTTTCCCTAACCTAAGTGATCATAAAGCATAAAGCATGCCTTTGTTTTTTCTCCTACTTCCTGGGATCAGTATTCTTTTTCTCACTGATTCCACTGCTTTCCACTCACAAAATGAAACTGTGACCTAAGGCTTTGTCCTTAGCTCTTAGCGTTTATTGTCCCTTATGTTTTCCTGTGACAACTTAGTTTCAAGTATGACCTCAAGCAAATAACTAATGGATTTACATATCAGACCCAGAACACTATTTTTGAATTTTAGTCCTTCATTTTCAAAACTTGTCCAAACTTTCTACAAAAACCACTTAAATGCCACCATTTTTGTTAACTAGGTTATTTTTTGTCCCAGTTACTCAAGTTCAAAATACTAGAGGACTATTTCCTAAGTTATCCTGCCACATTCAATCCATTTAAAAAAATCATCAAATCTTTGTACTCTCTATCCTTTGTAATGTAGATTGTAGCACTGTAAAACCAAGACGGGCTTGAAATCCCAGCTTCATGACTGTCTAGATCTGATATTGGATAAATTCCTAAAACTCACTGTGCTTCATTTTCTTCTGTGAAATAAGAATAATACCTTTCCATGTCTAAGAATATAATAAATAAATAAGGTATTTTTCAGAAAGTTCTCCCCATCCACCCTAGCTTCGCCTTTACATCTATGTGATTTCTTTCTTTTATTTTCCTTAGAAATTAACACCATCTGGCATTCTATGGTTGTTTTATTTTTGGGAAGAGGTTTGGGAAGGTGGCTTACACATTTATTTCCTGTGCCTTTCCACTAAACTTCATGAAAGTAGGACCTTTGTCAGTATTATTTACTATTGAGTCCAGAATAATCCCTTTCACATATTAGGTGCTCAATACATATTTGGTGAAGGAATGAATAAATAAAATATATAAAGTACTTAACACAATGACATTTACTGTCTGTCCTCTAACATGGTCTTTCTTTTTTGCCACTGGCTGTCTACCTGTATCAATCCTGATAACATAATTTCTGGCTTACAGTAATAATACTGTGTTAATCATCTTAAAAAAAACTTTGTAATACCACTTATTCATAGAGCACCAACTATGACAGAACCAATCTAACTTTCCTAATCAAATACCTTCAATAGTTCTTCCTTCATTAAGAAATCTAAACTCTTCCTTGGTTGATGTGGCTCAGTGGATTGAGCGCCCACCTGCAAACCAAACGGTCACCAGTTGGATTCCCCAGTCAAGGCACATGCCTGGGTTGTGGGCCAGGTCTCCAGTATGGGGCGCACAAGAGGCAGCCACACACTGATGTTTCTCTCCCTCTCCTCCCTCCTTTACTCTCTCTCTAAAAATAAATAAACAAACAAACAAATAAGTAAAATCTTTAAAATAATTTTTTAAAAAAGGAGTCTAAACTCCTTGGTATGTCATTCAAGGTTGTTTTCAACATTCTCCACTCAAGTTCCTATTGATATCCTTAAATGAACCTAAGACATTATGATTGTCTTTAAAAGGGTCATGCATGCTCCTAAATTTGATTTTACCATATAACACAACTAGAATACCTAAATGAAAATCTTCTTTTAGGCCCAGGTTAAGACACTCAGGCATAAATACCATCTCATTTTATATTTCCCTAATTATTAAAACTAATATTACAAAATAATTAGTATACTTAAATATATTTAAATACCAAGAATCATGTGCAATTATAAGTCTTCCAACATCCTAATCTCCATAACCAGTGTTCATGGTTTATACACCATTTCAGGTGAGATCACCATTTTTCAAATGATTTTCTATTCTTCATCAATTGTTACTGTATTTATATGTATATTAATATGTACTTAGAAAATATTATACTGTTCTACAACGTATTTTCTTTACTCCCTATACTTTGTACCTGATTTTTCCAACACCCGAAGAATTAACCCTCTCTTTTGAACTTTTACATAATGTATTTGTTCCAATATTCATATGTCATGAAGCATGTTTCTTATATTTTTATCTATCCATCTAAGAATTTTGTAACCTCTAATTAGATAAAGTCTCCCAATAACTCATTTCAACATTTGAAAACTCAATTTTCAAATTGTGTGGTGATTGAGGGGGTTAGGGAGGGTGGAGGTAGAAGAGGGTATAGTGTGGATAAATGGTGATGGAAAGAATTAAAATAAAGCGTTAAGGGTGAGGGGAAAAAATCAATATAAAATGAAGTTATGAACATGTCTATGTCATCAAATTAATTGTTTAAGAATTTACTATTTTTATACTCTTCATTAATAATCTAAATTGTCTTTTAAAGCACTGAAAAATAAATTATTTCCTAATGCATTCATTCAAATATGATAACTTAAAAAATTAAAAAACCACTTTCAATTAAAAAACAAATATTTAGAATCAACAAAAACTTCTAGAACTAATAAATGAGAATAGGAAGTTAGCAGGATAAAAGATTTAATAAAAACATCAATTGTATCTCTATGTGTGTGTGTGTGTGTATATATATATATTTACTAGCAACAAAAATCCAAATATAAAATTAAATAAATGGTTCTATTTGCACTATTAAATAAAATGCCTAAAAAATTTTAACAAAATAAGTGCAACACATTTACAATGTAAACTACAAAGCATTGCTCAGAGAATTAAAGAACATCTAAATAAACTGAGAGACAGTTCACATTTAAGAAGGAAGATACTCACTATTGTAAAGATGGCAATTCTCCACAAACTGATCTATAAAATTCAATGGAATCTTTATCACTATTGCAGTAGGAATCATTGTTAAAATTGATAAGCTGGTCCTAAAATTCATTTGTAAATGCAAGGGGCACTGAATAGCTAATGTAAGATTTGAAAAAAAGAAAAAGGCAAAGTTGAAGGACTCAGACTTCCCTATTTCAAAACTTAACTATAAAGCTCCATACAGTAAGAAGGCTATGTGGTAATGTCATAAGAACAGATATATACACCACTGGAATAAATTGAGAGGCCAGAAATAAACCTTTACATTTATGACCAATTTATTTTTGACAGATACAAAGATAATTCACTGGGGGAAAATATTCTTTTCAACAAACGGGGTTAGTATAATTGAATATCAACATGCAAAAACCAAACTTAGACCACTATTTCACACTGTGCATAAAAATTTATTCAAGATAAAACACATAGATCTGAATTTCAAAACCAAAACTATTAAGGTTCTAGAAGAAAGACAGAAGAAAAAATTTGTACCTGGAGTTAGGTAGAGTTCTTAAAATACAACACAAAAACCATGATACATTTAAAAAATGCATAAAATTGAACCTCATAAAACTCCAAAATTTTCTCCTTCAAAAGAGACCAATAAGAAAATGAAAAGACAAGTTCTAGAATGGGAGAAAATATTCATGATACATATATTTGATAAAGGACTTTTTCAGATATCTACTCTTACAACTCAATAAGACAAACAACCCACTTTAAATGGGTAAAAAAAAATCTCTATAGCATTTTACCCAAGAAGATAGATGAATAGTTAATAAACAGGTGAAAAAATGTTTATCATTATTACTTATTAGAGAAATAAAAATTAAATCCACAAATAAAATACCACTTCACATCTACTAGAATATCTATAGTGCAAAAAACAGAAAATACTAACAGTTTTACAAAGACATAAAGAAACTAGGACCTGATTGGACTGGTGGTTTCCACTTTTTAGAAAGCAATTCAGTTTCTTAAACAGTTAAGTTAAATATAAAATTATCATGCATTCCAGCAACTGCACTCCTGAGAGTCTACCCAAGGAAAACAAAAACATATGCCTGAGACATGTATGTAGGTGTTAACAGCAACATTATTCATAAGAGCAAAAACTGAAAATAATCCAATGTCCATCAATTGGTGAAAGGACAAAAAAATATAGTATATTTATATAATAAAATATTATTCAGCAATCAAAAAGAACAAACTACTAATTCGTGTTACAATATGATGAGCCTCAAATACATCACACAAACTGAAAGAAGGCAGATGCAAAAGACTACATACCGTATAAATCCTTTATATTAAATGTTTAGGAAGGCAAATTTATGGAGACAGAAAACAGATCAACGTTACTTAGGATTTGGGGGGAGTAGGGATCAACTGCAAACGGGAATGAAAGAAACTTTTGGAGTGGTGACGATTTCTAACATTGGATTTTGGAGATGGTTATAAAACACTATTAATTTATTAAAATCATGAAATCATACATGTAAAATGGATAAGTTTTACAGTATGTAAGCTACATATCCTTACAGTTATTAAAACATAAGATATATATATTTGTTTCTCCATAATTTGGTGCTTTTATGCTCAAAAATTATTATGCAGTAAATGTACAAACTTTTAAATAAATTTCAGATAGAACACATTATTAACATATTCAGTAGTATGTAATATCTTATATAAATGAGGCAAATATTAGTTTTATATAATTTAGGTATGTATGGACCTTAGAAGCTAAAATTTCATTTCTATAAATTTACTTAAAACAAACCCTAATAAAACCATTTACCTTTTTCAAAGCAGGGCAGAAATTAAAGAAAAGCCGGTCGTTGTATGTTTTGAATCGTTCTGGAAGATGCCAGTTCTGAATTATTTCTTCATCAGAAATCACATGATGATCCAATGCTTTGAGACTCCGTATACTGTTGACAAGAACATGTCTATATCCTTTTTTAAGGCTTACTGGGCAATCAAACATAGTGAGAGCAATGAGGCTTGGACAGACAGATAACATGCATACATTCTTTAACTTTGCAAACCCATTGTCATGAAGATAGAGAAGTTTTAGGTTCTTTAATCTACTCCAAAATTTGGCATCTGGTAGACTCTTCACCTAAAATATTATTAATAATAGTATATTAAATACAAATATAAAAATTTCTATCAACTGCATAGAAAATAAAATATATTAAATATATTAAATATTTTCTAAAATTCAGTATTTTCCCAAATGAAAAATTTCTTATTAGTAAACAAAAACCAAAATGATGACAAGTATAAAGACATAATTCACCTGACATCTAAAATGAGCTACCGTTATTAGTGTAATTAAATGAATAAACATATATACTTCATTCAGTAAAAATTCCTTTGTAATAGGCTTTAAACTTCTCTAAAATACTTTCTTTACATACAGAATTAAAAAGTCAATTCAAATAATGTGATAACACCACACTAATTAAATAAAAGATAAAAATCATACAATCCTCTCACCAGAGGCAGAAAAAGCATTTGATAAATTCTACATCCATTTATGATAAAAACTCTAAAAAAAATGGATATAGAAGAAAATACCTCAACATAATAAGGGTCAAATATGATATAAACCCATAGTTAACTTCACACTCAATGGTAAAAATTTAAAAACTTCTCTAGGATCAGGAAAAAGGCAGTAAGCCCACTCCAGCCTCTTTTATTCAACATATTATTGGAAGTCCTAGTCAAGCAATTAGGGAAGAGAAAGAAATAAAAGGCATTCAAATTGGAAAGGAAGAAGTAAAACTGTAACCACTTACAGATGATATATTATACAGGAAAAAAAAAACAGAAAGACTCCATGAAAATACTATTAAAACTAATAAACAAATTCAATTACGTTGCAGAATACAGAATCACTATGTAAAAATTTGTTGTATTTTTATACACTGATAACAAACTATCATAAAGAAAATTTTTTTAAAATCCCATTTATGGATTTTTGCATCAAAAAGAAATACCTAGGAACGTTTTTAACCAAGAAGGTGAAATAGCCAATGAAATTTTTAGAGAGAACAAAGCTTGAGGCAACATGCTCCCTGGTTTCAAACTATATTAGAAAGCTATAGTAATCAACCAGTATGATATTGGCATTAAACCAGACACATAGTTCAACTGGAACGGAATAAAGAGCTCAGAAATAAATGCACACATATATGGTCATTTGATTTGCAACAAGGAAGCCAAAAGCATACAATGGGAAAAGGAGAGTCTCATCAATAAATGATGTTGGAAAAACTGGATGCATTTGCCAAAGAATAGAACTTGGGCCAATACCCAAATTTTATTCTTTGTATACCTGTATATAATACCTTTATATAAAAAATGCATTAAAGCCTTGAATGTAATACCTGGAACCATAAAAATTCTCACAGAAGAGATAGAAAAGAGAGCTCCTTGACATATGTCTTAGTGATGTTGGTGATATATATTTTTAATATGAAACCAAGAAAAAAGTCAACAAAAGCAAAAAATAAACAAGTGGAACTACATAAAAATTAAAAGCTCCTAATAGCAAAGAAAACCATCACTAAAATGAAATAGCAACCAACCAAATGGAAGAAAATATTTGAAAATTGTATTTCTGATGTGTAACAACGTGGTGATAAATGTTAAGTGGAATACTGTGGTGATCATTTCACAATATGCGCAAATATTGAATCACACCTGAAACCAGTAAGTGTTATAGATCAGTTATATGTCATCTAAAAAAATAACTAAGTCAAGAAGTATTCTTAATCCAGACTATGGATTTAAGAGATAAAATAAAACAAATAACAGAGTTTATTTATGTGCTTTTCATTTAAAATGTTTGCTTATATTTGAAATGTTATGTTTCTTTTATATATTATTTAAATTATTGTTTATATTTTATATAAAAGACTGTGAGATATATTGTGAATAGTGCTTATTAAATATAATTTAATTTATATGAAAATATGTGAAATAGCTGTTGCTTACCTGATTTCCATGGAGATCAAGTTTGACTAATTTTATACAACTTTGAAGTGGGCTGATATCTGTAATAAAATTGTTTGAGAAGATGCATACTCTAAGAGAGATACAAGATTGCAGATTTTCCATAGATTTTAAATGAAGACCATTGAACTTCACAAAAACAAAATCTTTCTGATCTTCTATTATGTTTTGATTATAGTGACTCCATTCTTCATGACTGATTAGTTCTTTTGTGATAGTTCCATGAAACATCTAAAAAACATGGTAAATTTCTTTCAAAAGTTTTTTCAACTTCCAAAAATAACTCTATAGGAAAACAAAACATTTGCTAATGGATAGAGTAAAAATGATTAGAAACTAAGTTAAAATTTTTTAGCAATCTAATTCCCATAAAATCTATCTCGAGGCATCTTAAATGTCTAACATTTATATAACAACTCAAAAGGATATTATTGACCTCACCAATAAACTAACACTAAGAAGAAGAGAAATATCCTTTTTCCCCCAAAACACTTAGAGAAAATGGAATTCAGTGAAACAGTTGATACAGAAACATCACATTTTGACAACTAAAACAAACAAGGACAATTGTACCTTAGCATACCTTGTATAATAATTTTTGTTACTTTTGATTAAAAGAAATGCTTTGAATTATGAACTCCTAAATTTGGAAAGTGATACTTTTTGTGGGAGGAGCTAAAAATGCAGCTAAATAAAATTAAGGTGCAATATAGGGCTTCAACTGTAACAAATATTTAATTCCTAAAGAGATAATTAGCAATCTCATTATGTATGGTGGGACAAAAGGTTTAGTTATTCATTTGGAAAATAATACAATAACTAATAAAAAAAATAGCAAAAGAATAAACTGTTTCACATTCTCACAACTGTAAAAGTACTTTGCTCCATCCTGTATTTGTTTAATTCTATTAGGCAATTAAGACTTAGAATTCTAATAGTTTCAAATTTGACTAAGTTTATCTAAAACTGCTGGTTCAGTGGTTTTTTGTGTAATTTTATAAGTATTTCTTATATATATGAAATTTTCCTCACTTTGGGAAATTTCAGCTTTCATAAAAACAGTCACCCAGTGATAGTTTAGAAGGGAACACATAGGCTAAAGTGACCAATCTGAGTGTTTGGTTAAAATTAACCACTTCCCTCACTGGAAAAATCTATTTCTACCATAAGGAAGTAAACTGGGTCAGCATAAACAAAATGAGAATAAATGTGAAAATCCAGATAAACCCTTGCACTCTTCAAAAGACTGGCTACTTTTCATATACTATCCAAGGCCTAAAACTATAATCCTCAAACTCTAAATATGAATCACCAAAAAAATTAATAGACGCAGATTTCCTGGGTCCTATATCATATCTACTTTATCAGAGTCTCTGAACTGTGGGCCAAGGATTTTATGTTCCTTCATACCCCACCTTCAATACACACTTTTCCTATTAACATATTGCACTAGTGTGGTAGAATTGTTACAAGACATCCAATCATAAAAAGCAAAAGTAAATCATAAGAGGTAATGTACAGCTTGGTGCTATAGTTAATAATACTGTATTGAATATTTGAATGTTTTTAAGAAAGTAAACCTTGAAAATTCTCTTCACAACAAAAAATAATTTTGTAACTAAACATGGTGACAGATGTGAACTAGACTTTCTGTAGTGATACACAGATATCAATCATTATTTTGTACACCTGAAATTAATATAATGTTATGTCAGTTGTATTGCAATAAAAATGTATAATATAAGAAATAACAATGGATATGAAAAAAAGATGATGCTACACAGGAATTCATTAGATATTGTATATAATAAAAAAATGATATATCTTAAATGCCTTAAAAGGTAGTATTAACTACATCAAATACTGTAATACAGTCAGTGGAAGCATTTTATACTATGAAAGCATTAAAACTGATCATGTAGAACACAGCAGTATGAAAAGGTCTTGACAAACAACCAAGTTATTGTTTTTGTTTTAAAGTATTTTTTACTGAATTTACTTTAAAAGGGAGACTTTTATGGTATGTGAATTAATTTTCAATTAAAATATTTATTCTTCAGTGGCACACATTTAAAAAACTAAGTAAAAAGAAAAAAAAGTAATGTAGAAGCATATACCATGCCAGCACTAATCTAAAAAAAGCTGCTACAACTAAAATGTTTCAAACAGAGCTGACTTCAAAGCAAGGAAAATAATCAGGGATAAAGAATGATATTACAAAATGATAACGGGACAATTTTACAAGAGGCATAACAATCCTTAATCTTCATGTGCCTAAACATAACATCAAAATACCTGACACAAAACTGAGAAAATTAAAAAGAAGATGAATCCACGACTATAGTTGGAGACTTCAGTATCCAGCTATCAGAAATAGATGGATCCAGCAGGCAGAAAATCAGTAAGGAGATAGTGGAAGTCCACAGCACCACTGGCCAAATGGATAACTGATTGCTATCTATTACGTAATCCAACAACAGTAGATTACATATTCTTCTCAAGTTCACATGGAATAGTCACCAAGATAGACCACATTCTGAGCTATAAAATATATCTTTAAAAATTTGTAAGAGACACCATACAGTGTCTCTTTCATACCACAGTGGAATTAAAGTAGATTCCAAAATAGAAAGATAGTTGGAAAATCCCAAAATACATAACATGTGGATCAAAGAAGAAAATACAAGAGAAATTTTAAAATAATCTGAACTAAATGAAAATACGCCTTTTTAAATGGGTGAGATGCAGTGAAAGTAGTACTTAAAGGGTAATTTATAGTATTGAATTCGTATCTTAGAAAAGATCTAAAATCACTAATCTAAATTTGCACCTTAAGAAACTAGATAAAGTGAAAATTAAATCCAAAGGAAGCAAGAGAAAAGTAAATGAATACATTTTCAATAAATATATTGGCAAAAATTATAATCCTTAATTATATATCACATATTTGGGGTGGAGACATATTTTGTCATTATTTCATTGCAGAAGTCTATAAATATCTGATTCTATGAAAATTAAACATAACCAGATCATATGAAGGACACTTATGATAAAAGCAATAAACTCTTTACTTGTCTTTCAGATCTTTAGTGAAGGGGGATGTGTCTCAAACAATCCTTCTGGTTGCTTGTATCATACCATAAGAAACCTTACTCCAAGTATATCTTTTCCTTATCTGTAGGGTCATTCAGAGTGAATTCAATGTTTAAACACTGAATCACATCCCAGACCCCTACAAACATTTTTCAGTTCCAATTAACTTATTTTTTTCATATATTTTAATGTTTAAACCATTCTCAAATTTTTCAGTTGGTGTATATGAATTCTAAAATAAAGTCTTAAAATGAATCAGTCTTTCTCATATACTAGACTAATTCATATTATGTTCTCTATTGCATCAATATTCACTTCCACCAACAGTATTTATTTGCCATTATGTAAACAACCATAATATTTTAAAAATTCCCCAATAGAACATTATTATATCATACCGAGTTGTTGCTATCCAAAGGGAAAACTAATGTATGATTAGTAAGTACAGGAATAAATGTAGTAGATCTTTTCTCCACTTTTTCGAGAACTAGTATTCTATATTCACAATATAAAGTATGGTTAAGTTATTCAGGCTCTTCAGTTAAATAGTCTGTCACATATCCCAATCATTTTAGATAAGTGGAAATGTTTCATATATTGTTTTATACTACTTCATGCAACATTAATTTTGTTTCTCATTTTTATTGCACATTAAAATAACTAGAATAACACAACTTCTCAGGCCCTATGGCATACCTACTGAATTTTATCTCTGCAACTATGGGGCCAGATAATTATATTGCCCACTAAGGGAAGCTAAAAACTATTGCATTTGATATCGCCTCTGTCACCTATTGCAAAGCCTGCTTTCCAATTGCTTTCAAATTTTAAATATGGCCATTAAAGCAAATCCAGGTACTTTTGTTTCTTTTAGATTTTGATAATTTTACAATTATTTTATGAAATGTACATACAACTGTATACAATGTCAAGTTTAAATAATACTCAAAGGGCAAATGTAGTTTAAGTACAGTAACACATTAGAGAAAGTATCAGGGTTCAATTACAGCTTCAAATAAGATCTATAGTTTAAAAATATCAGTATCATTGTTAGTAAATATTTCATTAGTTTGTGTCAAGTGAAATATTAATTTAAAAATTACCATGTTTTTAATCACACTATGAAAACCAAGTCTTTATAAAATACACTGTACATCAATTACAACTCTCATCTTTATTTCCAACTTTTGCCATTTAAAAAATTGGTGGCAAATACATAAAAGGGAACTATACAAGATTATAATTAATGAAAAACTAAATTAAATGTTGAAAAGTGAATCATCTTTATTCTGTGTATTTATTTCTTTTACATTTAAGTATAATTAATATAGAAAAGGAACTTTTGAAGAAACATGTTGCTGATTATGTCAATGATCTCCATATGTCACACTCATTCACTGAAATTTTAGATATTTAAGAATACCAATACCTTATTATTTGAAGGTAAAAGTATATTAAAATATAATGGCAAGTTAGATGATCTATGCTACAGTAACTTATTTTATAAGCATTAGTTATGATATTAATTATGTGGAACTCTGGACCCTGCACTCCAGAATTATCACAAAAGCTACTAAGATACTGCATATAAAATAAAATCATGAAAAGGGAGTAAAAATAAAGTGTTTTTCAAAGATCTAACTTTAAGAATTATAATTAGTAATATTTTATATCTGCTTTAGTTTAGAATGCCTGCAATAAATTTAAGCCCATCATAAACATAGCAATTATATTTTAAAAATACTTTTTATTTGGCCAGCAGATTTGTTGAATCAGTCCTGTTTGGATAAAAACTTTCCATGAATTTATATCACAGATTTATTTCCTTTAAGAACAATAAAGAGGGATTCTCCTGGCAAATGAAAATAAAATTTCATACGTTTATAAGTTAATATAAATTACCTTGACTCTGAAACATTACATTTTCATGGTATATTCCACATGTTTTCAAATAACATAAAAAAGTCTTTTGGAACAAGAAGTCCAGATTCACTTGTAATCAAGACATGTTATTTTTTCCCATTTAAATGTGTTCACGTTCCAAATTTAGAAGGCTATATATTTGTTTTTCTAAAGCTTTTTTGAAAACACCAATTTTCAACTTTTATTTTTATTCCACATTTGTAGACTGCAAAACT